GCACGGCGACAAGCCTGCTGACACGCCGTGTGCCGCCCGCGAACCCCGACATGCGGATGCGTTGGTACGACTGGCTCGTGCCGCCCGAGTCGATCGCTTTGTTGCGGAAGGACCGCGAACTACTCATGGCCCTGATGGTCACGAGCAGCTTCTGGCTACTCGGCAGCATCGTGCAACAGGCGGTCAACTCGCTCGGCAAATCGCAGCTGGGCCTCGATGACCAAAACACCAGCATCCTGGCGGCGACGCTCGGCGTGGGCATCCCGATCGGCTGCCTGATCGGCGGCAAGCTGTCCGCCGGCCGCATCAATCCGCGCGTCGTCGCGGTGGGCGCCATGGGCATCGTAATCAGCCTCGGGCTGATGAGCCTTCGCGGCGGAGAGAAGGATCATCTCTTGGGCTTCTACGGCAGCATCCCGGTGCTGATCATCGCCGGCATCAGCACGGGCGTCTTCATCGTGCCGATCCAAGTGGCGGTGCAGGCCTTGCCGCCGGCCAACGAGAAGGGCCGGATCATCGCCCTGATGAACCAAGTGAACTGGATCGGCATCATCCTCGGCGCCGTGATCTTCAAGGCGTCGGTAACGTTCTGCGAGACCTGGAACCAACCCCGCAACACGGCGTTCGCCGTGGGTGCCCTGGTGATGCTGCCAATCGCGCTGTTCTACCGGCCGAAGGAGCGGAGTTTGGGTGATTGAGAGTCTGCTTTTGGCCCCAGGTTAATGCCGGAGCTATAATGCCAGCGGAAGGCTTCCCTAACGGATAGACGCGCGATGAATCATCACGAGCGAATTACGCTAGACCCGGCTGTCATGGGCGGCAAGCCCTGCGTCCGCGGCCTCCGTGTCACCGTCGCCACGGTTCTCGGGCTGCTCGCTTCAGGACACAGCCGCGAAGAAGTGCTGGCGGCTTACCCGTATCTGACGGCGGACGACCTCGACGCGTGCCTCTCGTACGCCGCGTGGCGCCTCGAAGAGCGTGAAGAAGTGCTCGTCGGCCCATGAGCGTTCATGTCCTGGTTGATATGAATCTCACACCCAACTGGGTTGGGTACTTCGCCACGCATGGAATCGACTCCACTCACTGGAGCACCGTCGGCGATCCAGCGGCGCCCGACACCGAACTGATGGAATGGGCGCGGATCAATCACGCCGCCATCTTTACCTACGACCTCGACTTTGGAACTGCGCTCGCGCTGACCGGCGCCGCTGGTCCTAGCGTCATCCAGCTACGAGGCCGCGACGTTTTGCCGTCGCAAGCCGGTTCCACTGTCGTCAAGGTCTTGCAGAAGTACGCGGCTGAGATTGAGGCTGGCGCACTGGTTGTTATCGACGAGACACGGCTTCGTGTGCGGATCTTGCCGTTAGGCGACTGACGCGGGAATTGCGATATCGGGACAGATCTATGTCTATGCCAAGCAAATTTCGATTGTTGTCCGATTGGATTGAATCGAACGGCGGCCCGTTGGTTCTCACCTCGACGCAGAACGCCAAAGCTTGGCGCGGAGGTTTCTGGGAAGACGAGTCGTCACATTACCGCGCGGCGTGTAACGTCAAGGGGTGGACCGGACTCATCCTCATTGAGGGCCACCAATTCGCTGTGCTGAATGACTTGCCCTTGCCAACGATCGCTGCGAATGTTGATGATTCAACCCTACTGATTCGCTGGTTGTATGCCGAGTCTGATGAAGAACTCTTGGGTGCGGCAGCAGATTGGGTGAGTCGTTTCGACTCTAAATCTGTGCCTGCGTGCGAGATCGAATTGGCTTGCCGACCTGGGTCGCTTGTTATTTTTGACTCAGCCTACGACGGGACAGCTGATCACGGCGGCGCGACATTCGAAATCGAGTACCCTGCCGAATCGATTCGCACCTACATGGTAGAAGCGGACGAACAAACGGCATTCCTGGTAGACCGGTTAGTCTGACCAACCGTTTAGTCGAAACGTGCGGTCTGGTAATTCGGTGGGTCATGACCCACCCTACTTCCTTACCTCAAATATCTTTTCGCGATGGTGCGGCCCAGTACACGCCGAGCAAGCGACCGGCCATGCCGCCAACAATCGCCGCCAGCAGGACGAGTAGCGCAGGCGGTAGCGGAGAACTTTTCGCAAAAATAGCCAGCATTCCGAATACAGAAATCCACACCCCAATACCAGCTCCGAGTGCTGTGGATAAGTAGGTCTTCCCTCCAAGGATCGGACGCGAAGTTAGCAAGGCGATGCGACTGCTCCGAATAGCGCCACCAGCAGCTGCCCCTCCAAGAGACATCAGCGTCGCCACGCAAAGCCCAATCGCTGTGAGCGTGCGAGAATTGTCGAACGGTGATAAGGATGGCTCGTTGACGATTCCGTGGATCGCCAAGACGACGTCGTCGGGAAAAGGGAAACCAAGAGGCCAAGCATTCGGTGAGCCGGCGATGCGGAAACTACCCCAAACTAGAAAGAGCCCCGGCATGATGCATCCGACAGCCAGGAGAGACGATGCAACCCACACGTAGCGGTTGGAGAAGGCTCCAAAATGCCGCGACGACAGCGAGAAGCAAGTCACAAACAAGAGCGACCCTGCTAATGCGATCAATCCTGCAGGATGGCTAGCGATGGCAACAACGGCCAACAACGAAAGGGCTATCAGCCATTCCCATCGTCCCACATTCATCTCGGTCTAGCGGTAAGGTCCGATCTAACCTGAGCAGACGTAGGTTGGGCCCTGACCCACCCTACGTACGGTGACATTTTTCGTCACCCCTCCAAGTACGAGCACACATAATCCGTCACCTCACTCGCCCGCACCTGGAACTTTGAATTCCCCGGCACGTTGAACGACTCGCCGCCGTTGTACTCCTTCCACTCCATCTCGCCCGCTAGTTGCACGCCGAGCTTGCCGGCGGTGATCTCCATCAACTCGGGCTTGGCCGTGCCGAACTCGTACTCGCCCGGCTGCATCAGGCCGAGGGTCTTCGTCGTGCCGTCGGCGAACTTGATCGTGCGGCTGGTGACCTTGCCGTCGAAGTAAACGTTGGCGGGGACGACGACGGTGACGCCGGAGAACTCTTGGGGCATTTGGGAGAGGCTAGGGGCTGGAGGTTAAAAAGAGCCGAAGGCTCCTGTGGGAGGGGTCTCCCGACCCCGATTACGCGCACCACACCGTTTCGGAATGGATACCGTAATCGGGGGCTGGAGACCCCTCCCACAACAGTTTCGTTGTTGGAGATTTGTTGATCAGCCCGCGTTGTCCGCCGGCTTTTCACCTTCGATCGGCGCGACCTCTTCGACCAGCGTCGCCTCGCCGTAGCCGGCGTCTTCGATCGCGGCGATCACTGTCTGCGGATCGAAGGACGCTTCCTCGACCGCGACCGTGACGATCTTTGACTCGGGGTCCGCCTTGGCGTCGACGACGCCCGGCTTGTTCTTCAACGCTTCGACGATCGTCGCGGCGCAGGCCTCGCAGTGCATGACGGGCGCTTCGAACTCAACGACGGGCGCGTCCTCGGCGTTGAAGACCACGCTCGTGGTCATCTCCGAGGTGCCTGAGGTGGTGACGCTCGATGACGGGGCGCCGCCGCAACCGATGGCCGCCATTACCAGCCAAACGAGATGGCGTTTCATGTTCGACTCACTCTTGTAGGGAAGGGAGGTCACTCCGCCGTGGCGGGCGCGGCGAGTTGCACGAGCTCGCCGTCGGCCGCCATCTTCTGGATGTCCTGCGTGATCTTCATCGAGCAGTACTTCGGCCCGCACATGCTGCAGAAGTGGGCGCTCTTGAAGGTGTCTTGCGGCAGCGTTTGGTCGTGGTACGCGCGGGCCGTCTCGGGGTCGAGCGCCAGACGGAACTGCTCGTTCCAGTCGAACTCAAACCGCGCTTTCGACAGCGCGTCGTCACGGTCCTGGGCGCCGGGGCGCTTGCGGGCGACGTCGGCTGCGTGGGCGGCGATCTTGTAGGCGATCATGCCCTGCTTAACGTCTTCTTTCTCAGGAAGGCCGAGGTGCTCCTTCGGCGTGACGTAGCA